GGGGGGGGGGTGGAATCCAGAAAAAAGGAAAACTAATTCATATACTACATCTAAAGACTGGTGATCTGCAATATATTACATTCTTGTTTTGGGGTTTAGATATGCTTTAACCACTCTTAGAGTAGAAAAAAAACTCTTTCTAGAAAACTGGTTAACAAGTCTAACATTAAAATGATCTTTCTTTTTCTACAACATACTGTATTTAGCTTTATAAAAAAAAAATGCTTTTCATTCCACAGCTGAATATTAAAGGATAAATTCACCATTTAGTAAAAAATAATAAATTCAATTTTTTTTGCAGGTAAAAACATGTGCATTTATTATTTTTGTCTGCAGGATCCTGGAAAGCATTGCACCAGCGCTCAGCAGATCACTGGTGCCATGCAGGTCTCCTGCAGACCTGTCAGTATATCTTCTTGCCGTATGGGATGTATGATGCAAGCAGATATACTGACAGGAAGAATGAATAAACTACCATGGCGCTCTACCCACCCAGCCGCATTTCTTAAAAATTTGACAGCTAGCTGCCCGTAACATATCACATGTTACACCCTTAATATGGGTGTAACATATAACATGTTAAGAAAGGTGAACATATATTTAAAGAACATTCTTAACCTCCCTGGCGGTATTCCCGAGTGTAGCTCGGGGTAACATTTCAGTACCAAAAGCGGTAACCCCGAGCTACACTCGGGAATACCATGCGGCACTGCTCCGGCATGTGTTCTTCCCTTACCTTACCCTGCGCTCCCACGATGTGTCCCCTGCAGCGTCCCCGGCCATCTCCTCCGGCCGATGCCGGCATCCGGCTTCTGTGTCCTGTCCCTGTGACGTCGGGACATACGGGCGCCGCCGGCGGCGGGAAATTTAAAAATTTTAAAAAATGTCTTTTTTTTTTTTTTTACATTTTACACAGTAAAACATTGCTGTTTCAACCTATTTCACATACATTTTGTCCCTAGTGCTTTGTCCTGCGCCCTGCCTGCATTTTGTCTGTTCTTTCTGCCTGGAAACTGAGAAATGTCCATGGCGTCCAAAAAGTGTCCCTTTTGGTCAAAAGCGGTTTAGATCAGCTAGAGAACAGCGATAGTAAATCAGAACCACTTGCAGAATTGAGTGATAATGATTCGTGGGGGAAATTCGTCATCAGAAACTGAAAACGATTTTGCGACTGAGCTCAGCAATGTGCGAACTTGGCGCTCTATTTCACATTTCAGTGTTTTTGGTTTGATTATATTATTGAATTAAATTTTTTATTATTTTTTATATTATTTTTATGATTATTTATTAAATTATAATTTATGATTTTGTGTTTCAAATTTTATCATACCCGGGATGTTTACTAGACTCTTGTTCGGACAGATTTCAGTGATTTTTCCTAAAAATTACAGCCTACAATAAAAAAATACATATTTCCATGCAAAAAAATGGTACCGCTTTCAGCACCAAAAATCTGAAATAATCATACCGCCAGGGAGGTTAAGGTTTAAAGTGGAAGAAAAGTCAAAGTGTAACTTTTTTTAAAATATCCTCCTATTTATCTACCTAACCTGTATATTAAATAAAATCTGTATACTTACCTATCTTTAATCCGATCCAGTCCTATAACATGATCCTGCAGTGCCGGCTCCCTGTGAGCTGCTGTTGCAGGGGAGAGGTTGGCAATGGGAGCCCATGTAATGTAGATGATAACAATCAGCACAGGAAGGAAGTTATGAGTTCACAGGTTTTCTGGCAGAATCAACAGGTATTCTTATGAACTTATCAAAGAATAGCAAAACACCGTAAATGCTCTATATTGGGGGTCTACATTGTATATTTTACAAATATCCATTGGACTGAAAAGTTCCCCATCAGAGTCTCCCTTACATCAGAGGTGCCATTACATTAAGGTCCCCATTAGACTCCCCCTTACATGAGGGTTCCCTTCAGAATTCCTCCTTATATTAGAGTTAACCCTTACATTAGTGTTCTCATCACGTTCCCTACATACATCAACATCACCCCTTATATCAGGGACCCCATCAGAGTCCCCCATTGCATTTGGGTCCCCATCAGACTTATCCCTTACATCAGGGTCCCCATCAGACTCCCCCTTACATCAGGGTCCCCTTTCAGAGTTCCCCCTTACATTAGAGTTAACCCTTACATCAGTGTTCCCTACACATTCCCCTTCTTACAACAGAATTGCGCCTTCCATTAGGAACCCCATTAGAATCCCCTCTTACATGAGAGTCCCCCACAGAGTCCCCTCCCATAGCAGGGTCACCATCAGAGTTCCCCTTACATCAGAATCCCCATCAGTCTCCCATTTACATCAGAGTCCGCCCTTACGTTAGGTTCTCTATCACAGTCTTCTACCACATTGGCATCCCCATCAAAGTGCCATTTACTCTAGAATCCCCACCAGACTGCCATTTACAACAGAGTGCCGCTTACATCAGAGTCCCCATTAAAGTTCTATTTGCATGAGAATCCCCACCAGACTGCCATTTACATCAGAGTGCTGCTTACATCAGAGTCCCCATTAAAGTTCCATTTGCATGAGAATCCCCACCAGACTGCCATTTACATTAGAGTCCACCCTTACACCAGGGTCCCCATCAGAGTCCCCTCTCACATTAGCATCTCCATTAGAGTGCCATTTACTCTAGAATCCCCACCAGACTACCATTTACATCAGAGTCCACCCTTACACCAGGGTCCCCATCAGAGTCCCCTCTCACATTAGCGTCTCCATTAGAGTGCCATTTACTCTAGAATCCCCACCAGACTACCATTTACATCAGAGTCCACCCTTACACCAGGGTCCCCATCAGAGTCCCCTCTCACATTAGCGTCTCCATTAGAGTGCCATTTACTCTAGAATCCCCACCAGACTACCATTTACATCAGAGTCCACCCTTACACCAGGGTCCCCATCAGAGTCCCCTCTCACATTAGCGTCTCCATTAGAGTGCCATTTACTCTAGAATCCCCACCAGACTACCATTTACATCAGAGTCTACCCTTACACCAGGGTCCCCATCAGAGTCCCCTCTCACATTGGCATCTCTGTTAGAGTGCCATTTATTGTAGAATCCCCACAAGACTGACATTTACATCAGAGTGCCCACTTACATCAGAATCCCGATCAGAGTGCCATTTACATCAAAATCCCCACCAGACAGCCATATACAAATCAGAGTGCCCCCCCCCCTTACATCAGGGTCCCTATCAGAGTCAGTGCTGTCTCTGCACATTGAGGATAGGCCACTCACCCTTACTGCGGGTCAGATAAATCTTGTAGAGGGCCTGGGTCGTACCTTGGAGACCTCTATATAACAAACCAAAGGAGACCAAATAGGAAAAGTTCTTTGTTAGGTTTCACATACACGTTGAGTTATGCTGTGGAATAGGAATACATTGCATATTCTACAAAAGATTTTACAGGAAACTAGAGATTACAAACATTCTTTTTCATCTGCAGATTGCTGGAAGTATCTGATTTTGTCCCTCATATCTGTGTATCATTTTCTCAGAATGGCATCCCTGCACCTTTCTTCTCTCTTGTGGATCTTGTCTGTTGCTGCAGCTCAGAATTCTCAGTTCCCTCCTCTTGGTAAGTTGTTTCTTTTATACACAGAAGATCTAATTTTTATACCAATCTAGGAAATCTTTATTGCTTTTAAATTTAGAACAAGATAAATTGGCTCTTCAGATAAAATGTAGTATTTTTCTTTTATTGCAGACATTTATATAGTGCCAACAATTTATATAACACTTTACATACTGTACTTTCACATCAGTGTCTGCCTCAGGGGCGGACTGACCATTTGGAAACTTGGGCACTGCCTGAGGGCCCGGGGTCAGTAGGGGGCCGCATGAGATGCCCCTGGTACCTTTTTCATAGGCTTTTTTGAGTTTGGGCAAGGACACAGGGGCCCCATGATCCCCTATTGCCCGGTGGCCCCATGAGTTGTCAGTCCGTGCCTGGTCTGCTTTTAAGAAACTCACACTCTAAGGTCCCTATCTCACATACTAAGGCCAATCTCGACAATTAACCAATTAACCTACTAGCACAGCCTTTCCCAACCAGGGTTCCATGGAACAATATTGTTCATCCAGAGGCTGCTAGGGGTTCCTTTGCCACATTAATACCACGCTATAGCCTAAAGACAGCTACAGAGTGGTTGATTAGTTCTGGGAGGGTGTCCATGGATGTCCTCCAAGAACCCTACCCTCTGCATGCCCTGGGAGCACGCATCAGGCATGCTCTGTGACTGCTGTGTCCTTTGTACAATCACAGTGGCCCTTTACCATGTGATCAGGTGTTTCCAGTTACCATTCACCTTTTGGAAGAAAAAAATGATAAATGCACTCATATTGAGGAAAGAAAAATGTCCATTCATTACTTTTTTTGCATTCGAGCCTGCAAAGCATTGCAGCCTGGATCAATGCATCACAGGCTCCTGTAGACTGTTCCCCTAGCCCTAGGTCCTTATGGAGGTATGGATTTACCATCATGGGGCTGGAGGAAGTAATCAATGGACTACAAGTGCAGTGACATCATGCTACATTGATATGTTTGAGTCCCTCTGCCATGATGACAGATTCCTCTGCATGAATGATGTGGCTGTGTAATGCATGAGGAAGGATTGGAACTCCTGCCAATTTTTACTGTTATCTGGGGCTCCATTACAGAGATTTAGTTTTACTTCCTGTTCCACCATCAACAGTTCACCAGACTGGAAGTAAGGGAAAGCCTACAAGGGCAACGGAGACAGAAATAAAATGCTAGGGGGGGGGGGGGGGGGGGGGGGTTACTCTTTTACTGCATTCAAAGTGAAAAAAAGTTTTTGGACATTTTGTACAATTTAAATATGTATTGTGCCACCATCATAGTTACAGCTTTGGCAGTAAAAGAATCAAAGAGTCAATAGAATAGGAAAATGTTAGGAATTCCTCTTATAAATAGATATGTGGAGTGGTGTCTATTACTCCCAATGATTCAATGATTATATTTTGTTACATTTTACATAGAAAAAGATATTGCTCTTCGAGGCCGGGCAACGCAATCTTCTACCTATATCGGGATCACCAACGCTATAAATGCCATTGACGGGAACTTGGACACCAACCTCTACCATGGTTCATGTTCCACCACAAACCTTGATACGTCGCCATGGTGGAGGGTGGACCTACTGAGGCCATATAAGATTTCCCAAATCGTCATCACCAACAGAGGAGACTGCTGCTCAGAGAGAATAAATGGGGCAAGCATCCTTATTGGAAATTCTCTGGAGAACAATGGGAATAACAATCCAAGGTCACTACTGGTTCTTGTGAATTTTACTTTACTGATAAGGTCATGACATTCATCTGATGTAGTTGAGCACACACTAGTTTATTGCAGTAGGGTATTATCTATTAATTTATGCAAGAAAATATTTTCCAGCTTCACAATATTTTTGGGTACACTGAAGTCCTCATAAATACGACCAGCACCCTTACCCTATTTTACAGGTCCTGCCCTACTTTTGTCTCTCTAGTGCCTGTTAAAAATGTGGGTAGATGATGAGGAACCTTATGGCTAGATGGCTAAGCATACGTTGGCCACTTGCATTGAATCAGGACATTCACAATGTAAAAGAGCCTCCTGTGCCAAGCAATATGGTATCAGCTTTCAGCATTGGCACAAAGATAATACAGGTGTGCCACAAATCTACCTGCAAAATGCACAGCACTGAATGAGCGGTTGGATTGGTTTAGATCTAGAATAAGTGGTTGGATTGGTCTATGCCTAGTGACAGTTGGGTGGATGGGATCTCTGAAGGCTAGTCAGTAGATTTCTTGAGGGCAAGCGCAACTTTTTAGCATACTGTAGTAGGGAGCAAGTTTATCAGAATTAACAAACTCCATTGCAACTGATTTTTTCTCAATAGAAACGCTCTTCAAATTGCTGCTTGTTTATTTTTAGTGGGGGCAGTCCTTAAAGTACAGCTGTACCTTCCACTTAACTATTGTTATGGTGCCTTCTGGCAATCCTAGAATAAACTCTAATCTCCCTCCCCCAGCTTCTTACCTTAGTTTCAGAGACCTGACCCTTGACTGTGTTGACATCCTTAGTGACAAAACTCTTTCCATTAACTTGAATGGGGCCATTTACCAAGGACCCCGTCTCAGTATAATGTGTATGACCACATTAAAGTCTATAGGAATTTAGTATGCAGGTGCTGCCAGTGCCAAATTAGATTAGATACAGGTAAGTGAACCAATACGGTGATGTTAGTTGAGCTTAGGATGGTTGCTGGGGTGGTGTAACAATAGTTAATGAAATAATAAAGCCTTACTTAAAGGTTAGTTTTCAGACAATTGTACCAGTATTATAGTAAAGGATAGCTAAACGTAAAGTGGAACTGCACTGCATATGAGCACCACAAACCAAAAATGCTACTTAATTCATTGTTAATATTCACAGCAAACTCCCCCATCTATCCATCCATCCATGTCTCAATGCTTTATTTTGCTGAGAAATCATTTTGAAAAACACCCCCTGGCATTTCTGGTAGTGGCCATCTTGAGTAAGGGCAGATGATTCATGTATCATTTACTTCCTGAAATCCATCTACCCTTAGTTCAGGCATAGGCTAATCTGAGAACCCTCCCTCCCCTCTTCCCCAGACAGCTGGGATTTATGACATCATTTGTTTAGGCATGGTAACCAGGAAGTAATTAAAGAAATGTAAAAAAAAAATTAAAACAAGTAAATGATATGCTTTCCTATCTATTTACTAATGCTAGCAGCATATAGATTAAAAAAAGTCCACATGGATTGAGAGAGTGAAATTCCGCTTTAAGAACACAAATATAAAATATTGCAACTTATTGGTTCTTAGATGATGTGCTAGTTGATCTTGCCAGAAAAACAGTTTTCTTATCACTTCATGTTAAATGAACTGATATATAAATTGTATAAACTTCCTTCTGTAAACTACTAATTCCCCTCCTTTCATGTAATGGAGATGGAGAGGATGATGTGTTTGTAGTCCAGTCTGGGTGACAATGCTGTTTTTCGATAGATACAGTACAGTAAGTCCTCGGTCACATCGGGTGTGACTTAGCATGCGGTTTGCATGCCATGCAAATTGCAAATTGAATGCCAAGTTGCACCCTATTGTCCGCAATTGGAGCGGTCAAATCGGTGCGGTTCCGACTTGAAAGAACAAAGGTATACAATCAGGCAAACAGTCCAGATCGATCCACAACAAGTGCAGGCTCTGGCTCGCCACCCACACATGATACAATAGGAAGAAGGGTCAGCCGCACACCGGAGGATAGATGAATATAGTGTGTATTTATTGATCCATAGGACACACAAAACACCAGGACAGGAATACAGGACTTGTTAAAGCGTTTTGCACGATCTGATTAAGCACAAGATTGTGTGAAACGCGTTAACAAGTCCTGTATTCATGTTCTGGTGTTTTTTGTGTCCTATGGATCAATAAATACACACTATATTCTTCTATCCTCCGGTGTGCGGCTGACCCTTCTTCCTACTGCGGTTCCGACTTGGTCGGAGCCACACCGATTTCATAAGTAGTAAATGCACTACTTTTGGTGCGACTTGCATAGACATCTGTATCATATGTGACTGGGGTGTAGGTGAGCATTGTCACCCTAGGACAGGAAGTGTTACTGGCAGGATAAAAGGAAAAAAACTTCATAAAGTAAAAAAAACTAATGCAGCAACCATATCTTAGACTGGTAAGGGTCAATACATCATTTTGTTATGTTTAAATGACAAGAGTATCATCATGACGTACATTAATTATTGTACTGATTTTACACAGCTGCTCAGAAATCAACTACATCCCAAGTGGTGCCACTCAGAGCTTCCAGTGTAACAACATGGTTGGCCGATACGTAAACATCATCATACCCGGGCAGCTGACGTATCTCTCTCTTTGTGAAGTTCAAGTATTTGGAGTTCCTGCAGATAACACGCCTACTTGTCTTTAACTTAAACGTCAGCTGTGATGGAAGAGTGGAGTGAGACAAGCTTCATATGCTATCGTTACTTCTTAATGCATTTCATTAAACTGAACCTGTAATCCCTTCATACCAAGACACAGAGGGGAAGAAATACTAAAACTGAAGAACTCAGAATCTGGTGCAGCTGTACATGGTAACCAATCAGCTTCTAACTTCAGCTTGTTCAATTAAGCTTTGGCAATACAACCTGGAAGATGATTGGTTTCTACGCAGAGCTGCACCAGATTTTGCACTTTCCAGTTTTAGTAAATAACCCCCAAAAATACAGCCTTTGGTTTCCATCCTCTCTGTCCAGCCTATAGTGTCCATCCTTACAGTGCTGTTTGGCTCCCTGTGTCATTGGAACTATATGCTTTTCAAATACCAACCTTTGCCATAGTCCATATTGCTATATAGTGCTCGAGTTCCTCAATAAGTCACTTGGGTACCAAGCATTGATCTGTGGCAGGGAGTATGCATATATGTACCATACCCAGGAGTTTAGTTTTTTTCTATATTTTGGAGATCTTCAGTAGTGCTTTAGTGTAATTATACAATGGAAATGATCTTCTTTTCAAATCATGTTAATAAAATTTACCACGACATTGCTTGTCTTTCTCATTCATAGTGTGTGAATACTATATAGCAGGCTTTCTCATCCATTTCACCCCAGAGGAAGCCTTAAAACTAATTCCAGATCTTGGAAACCAGTGAGAAAACTCTCCTAACACTAGTGGCCGTTGAGAAAAATTCCCTCCTATAAAGGCTTTCAGAATGTCACCCGTACAGACAGCTAAAAAGATATCCAACATTATGCTTCTGGCTCTGCCAAGAGGCGTTGGCTTGGGAAATCTGTAGACACCAGCACATGGGAGGTCAATCGGCCCAAGCCCAAGCAACACTAGCAACCTATGAAGGAACCCTGGTAGAGAATGGCTGCTATATCGAAACTATTACTCTAAAATAAAAGCCAAAAGCTTTTTTGGAAGGGTTTTGTAGAATAAGCAAAGCTGGGACCTGTGCGATGTTTTATAGATGTTAGTGTCCCGATTGATCGACTTCCCCACACACAATATACATTAATGCTGATAGTGATTCTATCCCTTCCCCACCCTGTACAATGCTAACTAAAAAACAGGTTTGACTGTGCTGAGTTTGCAGAAGGTAACAACCATAATTGGAAGACCACTTGAAATCTGCTGTGTTTAACCATTTAAAACAAATCCCAAATTCAAAAGAAATAATTCCTCTTGTTTTATAAGGTGTGAAACCAACAGTGAGTGTGTCCTTGTTTAGAGGTGGTAGATGCTTGACTCCAACTACTGCCACTAAAAGTCAATGCAACATTTTTTAAGTTATGACCACTTTAAACATACCATTTAATTTAATTATTAAAAAAAAAAAATTCAGTACCCTTTTTCTGTTGTTTTATTGTGGCCATGTGACTGGTATATCCCCTCTTCCTTCAGAGCTCTCAGGGGTGGGGCAGATTCTCCTACTGATGAGTGCCTGGAATCCCTACTAGGAGCCGATGTTAGTTATGTCCTACAAAGTTGGCCAGGGGGTCATGGCAGAGGGGAGGGAGCAAATTCTCTTGATTGCCCAGGATCCCTGATCATGTTCTGCAGGGCTGGGCAGAGGGTGTGCTACTACATGCAGAGGGGTGAGGCACATTTTCTTACTGGGATTCCTGTCAGGAGCCACTGTCTACCATAGCAGGCATTGGCAAAAGTTTCTCTGGGTGCACCTGTAGGCAGATTGCCTGTTTGTCTCTAGTGTATAAGCTGCCCAGGCTGGGAGGGTTGAGTTAACATTGTGCCGCTGTTATTCGCTGGCTTTCTGGGCCCTACACACTAGTCATGTGTGGCTGAAAAGGGAATTGGATCCAGGTCCTGAGAGTTCCAGAAAACTGCTGTCAGCCCCCATTCTTGTTTCCAGATGTTTCTTGCCTCCAGGAGCCACACACCACCTAGGAGCACTGCTGGGACCTGTAATCTGCCCTGAAGACACCAGCTGCTTGACACTGCCAAGATGGACTCTACCAAGCATGGACTCTTGCCTTTGCAGGTACCCTGAGGAAGCAACAAACCTGAGCTAGGGCTTAGAGACTTTAGGAAAAGACTGTTACTGATGTTGTTTGGAATGACCAAGTTTTTGGCAAAGCTTTTGAAAGTTTGCCTTTGCTTGGTCTAAAGTTCTTAACGTTCTGCATGTAAGCAATCGGCACACACATGGTATACAGCTTGGGCCAGTTAAGGCACCTTGGGGTATGAAGACACAAGTGGTTACCATGGGTAAGGAAAGTTTAGCAAGAAGCCTGTCATGAAGCGTGCACCTGTGATAGGTAGGACATTCTCTTGTAGCAAAGAAGTGTTGTTGGCACTATCTCTCTTGGCGGTCTGTCTCCCATAGTAATATGAGTAGATCAGTGCTCAGAGGTTCCCAGCCTGTGTAGCCGGTACGGTGAAAAAAAAGTGAAGTTAGTGCATGCATGGAGTCAGCGCTAGGTGCACATCAGGGCTCTATTCCATTACTGGGAGTGAGGTAGCAGAGATATGCTGGACAGGTGGAGTGAGCATAGAGTCCGTGTGTCCCTCCTAAGTGCAACAGAGACAGTAATGGTGTTCATTGACTTGGGGATGAAAGAGTTAACTGGAGGATAGTTTATTGCTCAAGTGTACACAGTGTACAGCCATTTCAAAAGTTGGAGGCCCATCCTAAGGTTATGTTTTCCCTGAAAGCGGCCTTTGCCTTGTCCCAGGGCATTGATCGAAATGGCTCAAGTATAGATACCCGATGTGCAAGAGAGTGTCGCCCAGCAAGAAGGGGAGCATGGAGGAAGTGCCACCCACCTACACCCAAAGCCTACACACCCCTTAGTGTACCCATATAACCCTGCCAACTCTGTGAGGCTCCAGTTTTGTTAGCAAGCAATAAAGAGATGACAGACAAGAACATGGAGGAACCTGTGTCCTGTACTGTACTCTAAGATATTGAATTTACAGGTATGTCAACAAGCACGTTTTAAAAAAAAAAAAAAAACGTGCTTTAGCACGAAAGATGTCAGAAAGCTGCCTCCAGTGACCTTTCTTCCACGTGGATTTTATGTGTTGGTCATCAGGCCATTTGCACTTTACATATGAGTTATATTCTTGTCATTATTTTGCACCTAATAAAACAGTGTTGCACTAAGATACTCCTTTTTGTACTTGGGCTCATTTCTTTTGAGCCTGTCATCCCTAAGGGAATCGTCAGACGTACTTCAAGGCGCAGTCTCCTTCTGGTGGTCCTTTTTGAGTATACTACATACCCTTGGAAACCTGGTTTAAAGAAGGTTTGATGACATCCTGGTTGCTGGCTCCCTCCGGTGGTCCTTTTTGAGTATACTACATACCCTTGGATACCTGGTTTAAAGAAGGTTTGATGACATCCTGGTTGCTGGCTCCCTCTGGTGGTCTCCAATCAGAGTTTGGTCATTCAGAAGCCTGGCTGACATGCTGTGATTCCTGTCGCTGCTGTCAGAAAACCCGGGTCCAGATGTCCATATCCAGATGATTTTATCATTCGCATGCGCGTTATATAGCACTATCTGGTTAGTGCAACTCACTCTCACATTTATCACCAGTGTCACGATTATTGTCTTTCGCCAGACACAGACTGTCACCCGTTATCACCATATTTATCTATGAAGCTGTCAGGATTGGACTCGCCAACAGTGGTGGGACTCACCTGCCTTGTGGGTTGCAGTACCAGGACTGGCCAGCGGGTGCTCTCAGCAACCAGAGGCTCACTCCTGCAGTCAGCCAAAACACCTGAGGCTGATTGCAGGAGGTGCATATAAGGAATGGCCAGACTTGCAATCAGGGCCTTGGTGTATGTTTTCCCATGAGCCCCTGTACCTGGTATCCTGTGTTACTGCCTCGTTGCTGACCCTGCTTTGATCCTGACCTCTGCTGACCGTCTCCTGTTGAACCCCTGGCTTGCCTGACCATCCTTCTGCCTGATCCTCGGTACCGCGCTGCCCGCTACCTGCTGAACCTGGCTTGTGACCCCGACCATTCTCTGCTTGCTCCTCCTGTACCACGCTGCCGATACCGATACCTAGTAAGTCTGCCTGCCTCTTCCCATCAGACTCCGTTCCTGCACTCCCCTGCCAGTACTCGCTACCACAGCCGGATGCACTCAGGGGTCGCGACCTGGTTCCAGTCTGCACCAAGTCCATCCCCACCATCAGGGGCCCTGGTTAATAGCAGGCTAGGACTTAGACCCCACGCCCTGAGGAAATCCGTGCTGTGGGCTCGGCCTGCCTGACCGCTCCACCTCTCCAGCCCTGACTGCACTGGTACATATTCGTTTAGGGTTTATTGCACCTGGTTGTACATATTTATGTAAGTGTTGAGTTTGATTGTTTGCACTGCGTTTATGTTTTTGTTGTCTTTAATAAATTATATTGTGTTACACGCTATACCTGAAGTCTGTGTTTCCCTGTGTCGGTCCACACACCTCTGGTCATACCCGGAGCCCTGACAGAAGCAATTGAATCAATAAACTATTCTCACTCATATGATCATATATTTTTTATGTTTGCATCCTCATTTATTCAGGTGCATGTTATTTTCATATATTTTAACATTCCAATTTTCTATAGGATACACTACAGGTGTTGATTTACAGACCATGGGACATCCCCAAGTAGTAATCGAGGGTTGTGCAACAAAACAGCTAAACAATAGCAACAGTTCCAGGCTACGGAAACACTGCACAAAAGAGGAGGACTCAAAGCGAAGTATTTAAAACCAAATTCCTAACTAAAGGATACAAGGAAAACATCGAGCAGGCCTATCAGTTATTTCTAAAGGATAGTCAACATTCAACAAAATGATCAAACAACCTAATGTTCATTTTATCACTAGATTGAACCCCAGACACAGATCTATAGAGAAAGTGTTCAAGATGAACTGGTATATACTGCTGAAGGAACCCATGTT